GGGCAGCAGTACACACCAGGGCAGGCCCGGTAGGCGCCACACCAGTAGTGATGGCCGACGGAGTTGGGGTAGGCCGTGAGCAGGGGGGGCTCAAAGGGGGACTACCAGCTTGTGTCAAAGCAGAAGAGGGGAGTGACTGGGTGGCAGCAGAGGGCAAGAGTAGGCGGTGTAGGTCGGAGATGGTGGTACAGAGTGTAACGAAGAGTTTTTCAACACGGTTGGTAAATTCTTTGAAGAGGGATATGATCTGTGTCATGTCACCGGATGGGGGGGGCACCGGTGGAAGCACAAGGCCTGACAGCGTTAGAGTAGAGACGGGTAGGAGGCCCAGTAGTGGTTGAGTTAGGAAACGGCAGGTGCTGTTGTGCTGCAGCCTTGTCAGGCTGCAGCACAACAGCACCGCAAAAATTCACAAATTTTGATAGCAAAAGTGTTGGCGACAAACGTGAGTGGAGTGTGTGCGTCGTCCCACAAGCTGCCGGGGGCCAGGTCGACACGGGGCACTCACAGGAGGTTATCGTGTGTTGTAATATCCGTCTATAAAAGTTTTAAAAACTTTTTGAAGCTAAAATTGATTGCCAACTTAGATCAGTCTACGGGCGTTGTGCTCGAAGCGTGAAGCCTCATATTAAAAACACTGATGCGTGTGTACAATACAGCTGTCAAGACGTTCCCAGGCATCTGTTGAATATTTGCCTTTCTCAGCACTGTACAGAGACGCGAGCCTAAAATAAACACAGGAAAACAAGGCGGGGAGGAAGGAAGGGGAGGGAGGGGATGAAGGAAAGGAATGGAAGGATGAGAGGTAGGGAAGGAGGTAAGGAAGAGTGGGATGGACAGATGGGAAAGAAGGGAGGGGAGGAAGGGGAACACACACACAGCTTTCCCCTACCGCCTATCCCCACTGCATCTCCCACCAAGATAGGTGAGGCAGACACCATTCTTTTCATACCTGGTTGATGGTATAGGTGTACCCGGGCCAAGGCAATACCCCATATACCCGCTTCATTATTTTGACCGTGAGTCTCCTCCCCGACCTTGGAAGGTGAGAGGTCATGTTTGGCCGGGGTGTTGACCTTTAGGGAAGCGGAGGCATGACAGTACAGACCAACGCTCACACAGTATTTTCTTTTACTTCCTGTCCATTTCGCCGAGGCTGTGATAACTGGCTAAACGGGCCCTGTCCTGATAGGCCCTCAACCTAACTTAACCTAACCTAACTAGAGGCAGATATGGCGTCTTATATAGCTTGACAGTTTCCAACGTACAATAACATCAACCTAATGTAACCATTTAGCCTAGGGCTCATTAGGACTGGCCCCAGTCTTATTGGGCCCCAGTCCAAGTAGGTTAGGTTGGAGCCTATTGCGATAAGTACTTGGCCTCCACCACAGTTAGATGGCCACAATAAACCTCATGGAGTGGTGAGGTGGCCCGCTGGTGGCTCGTGTGAGGTGGCCCGCTGGTGGCTCATGTGAGGTGGCCCGCTGGTGGCTCGTGTGGTGCGCCTCTCGCTCACCCACAGTAAAGTGGAGCTCTCCTCCCCCTCACAAATCCCCACCAATCTCACCTCCACCTTTCTTACATCTCGGGATATTGGCTGAGTGTTTCCTTCCTTCCTTCCTTCCTTCCTTCCTTCCTTCCTTCCTTCATTCGGTACATACAGTATATTCACTTATTTCTGGTCCAAATGGAGTCAGTTTTTGAACACCTTTTCAGGTTGGAATTTAAAACTGGCCTCATTGTTCCGGAACTTCCAATGCTTATATCAGTCTATAACGTAACCTAACGTAACCTAACGTAACCTAACCTAACCAAACGTATCAAAACATAGCATAACCTGACTTTCCGTAACCTAACGTACCATAACCTTACCTAACCAAAGCAAACCTAAAGCACCATAACTTAACCAAACGCACCATAACCTAACCAAACGCACCATAACTTAACCAAACGCACCATAACCTAACCAAACGCACCATAACCAAACCTAACAAAACCTAAGCCACTATAACCAAACCAAACCTAACCTAACATAACCTAACCTAACCTAACCATTTGTGATTAAAGCCCAATACAATTATTGCCCATATTAATTGGTACCCATTAGAACAGAGGACAGGTACCCATTAGAACAGAGGGCAGGTACCTATTAGACAGAGGACAGGTCCCCATTAGGACAGAGGACAGGTGCCCATTAGAACAGAGGATAGGTACCCATTAGGACATGGGACAGGTGCCCATTAGGACAAAGGACAGGGACCCATTAGGACAAAGGACAGGTACCCATTAGGACAAAGGACAGGTACCCAATAGGACAAAGGACAGGTTCCCATTAGACAGAGGACAGGTCCCCATTAGGACAGCGGCCAGGTGCCCATAAGAAAATTACTGGTTAAGTAAGGTTATAGGTTACACACTGATTCATGCTCCTCCTGTACACACTGGACTCACCCTCCTGTACACACTGACTCACCCTCCTGTACACACCTCACCCGTACACACTGACTCACCCCCCTGTACACACACTGACTCACCCTCCTGTACACTGACTCACCCTCCTGTACACACTGACTCACCCCTCCTGTACACACTGACTCACCCCCCCTGTACACACTGACTCACCCTCCTGTACACACTGACTCACCCTCCTGTGTCTTCCTTCGTCTCTCTTCCACTTCTCTCCTCCTCTTCTCCCTTCAAGCTCTGTCTGCTGCTCCGAAATTTGATCCTGAATTAATGAAGGGCGGACAGAGGCTAACCCGCTCTCTTGGCCAATTTAATCTTCTTCGTAAAAATAAAAAAAACATTAGAGTTGGGGATAAAAGTCGAGTCTTGGAGAGTTGGCATCACTGCTCAGAGATAAACACTGGGCCCCTTGTCCTAATGGGCCCCAGTTCTGATGGGCCTCAATATTGATGAGCCCCAGTACTGATAGGGTTTAGTTCTGATGGGCCCCGGTTCAGACGAGCCCCAGTGTTGATGGGTTCCAGTTCTGATGGGCTCTAGTTCTGATGGGTTCCAGTACTGATGGGCCTCAGTTCTGAGGGGCCACAATTCTGATGGGCCCCAATTATGATGGGACCCAGTGCTGAAAGGTTCCAGTTCTGATAGGCGTCAGTTCTGATAGGCTCCAGTTGTGATGAGTCTTAGCTTTTATCCCTAGTTCTGATGGGACCCAATTCTAATGGGCCCCAGTACTGATGGCCACTACTTCTGATAGGCCCCCCCACTTCTGATAGGCTCCCACTTCTGATAGGCCCCACAGTTTCTACTTTATATAAACTCCCTAAGTTAAAAGTTATTGTAGTGACCGTGTTTATCTTAAAACTGGGAGTTCCTTCGAGCTCAGAAAACACTACTACACATTTTTCAGAATTTGGATTGTGATGATGTTTATATCTAGTGTCTATGCGTAAGGAGTAAATAATATTGCCATGAAATTTTTATTACGAATAGAAACCAGATTATGGTCTAGAATTTTTTTTTCTATCGTGTTGGTGAATCTAGACAAAATTAATACCTAATATAATACTTGAGTAAATCTTAGAAGTTATGGAAGTATAACACCAACATAATGATGAGCTAAAGGTAAAGGTATAATAGAGACAAAACCAGCCAATAATTTAGTTAATCGCCCAATTTGGTATCGGGAAATTAGCCAAACACAGGTCAGTGGCAGGAAACTTTGAGAAACGTTCCTGTTATATGTGAGGTGGTGGAACAGGTGGAGAGGAAGTGTTAGGTGGTGGAACAGGTGGAGAGGAAGTGTTAGGTGGTGGAACAGGTGGAGAGGAAGTGTTAGGTGGTGGAACAGGTGGAGAGGAAGTGTTAGGTGGTGGAACAGGTGGAGAGGAAGTGTTAGGTGGTGGAACAGGTGAAAAAGAAGTGTTAGGTAGTGGAACAGGTGGAGAGGAAGTGCTAGGTGGTGGAACAGGTGAAAAAGAAGTGTTAGGTGGTGAAAATTTATTTTCGGTCATGTCACGTCAAGGTAAATTAAGTCAGGTTTAAATTATCATAATAATTTTTAGATTTGAGTAATACTAGTTCGGGAAAACACAAATTCTGCTTTCCGCTAGACGCTAAATCCTTCAACAATCGTGTCCACTTAATTCCGGTGTTCGCCAGATTCTTCGTCGTAAATTGCTGAGGTCGTTTAGTCCCTCACCCACTATATTCTCGGGGCAGTATGTTCGACGCCTCTCAGTCTTCAGGTAATAAGTCTTGAAGCAGGTTATGTGTGGTGTTAACTGGGCCCTTGTCTTGCCTAAATATTTTGTCAGTGACCTGTGCCAGGGTGACGTAATCCCCTTGGAAAAAAAAACAGTAGGACTGCCCAGGCCAATTATAACTAACGTATTGGGACAGGAACCTTTTGGAACTATGTACTGTACGACTCGTGTACAGTTTGTGGTCGTGGGCAGGAGGAAGGAGGGCTGTGTGTGTGTGTGTGTGTGTGTGTGTGTGTGTGTGTGGCATTATATAAGCCGGAGATGTGTATTACCCTTCATTAACAACTCGCCTAAAACACTAGCCAGGTGGTGACCGTCTGCCCGGGTTACTTCACGACCTGCTGGTCAAACAGTTCCCAACCAAACCTACAGTAACTCAACCATTAAGATATGGAGCCATGAGGGCCACTTTTTACTACCATTATTTCTTTTCTACATAAAAATAACTTGTCCTATAATGGGTGAAAGACAGTGATGCAGCAACTGTTGTTAAGTTTCATCATTCAGTAAACGAGTGTGTAAATAATTGTTGTTGTATACTTAATATGTTGATTGCCTTCGTCTTATTGACTTGTGTTTCCTCAGCGTCACCAGGTTTGTTGTGTCAACGATTGGTTGGTTAAATGGGCACCGGTCGTAACTGGACCAAACCTAGCCCAGTAGAACTGGGGCCCATTTTACCAACAACCGTGCTATCGGTGAGGTGTCAACAACTATCCATACGTGACATATTTCTAACGACTCACTCTCTCGTCTTGTCTCCCACAGAAGTAGCTGTCGGCGCAGCATCAACAGCCTCTCAACATGTATTCTGGGGCGCTTATGTCAGCCAAGCTACGGCAAGCGGCCACAGCGGCGGCCTCAACAGCGGGTCCGCAACGTAGCGAGACCCTGAAGCCGCGTCGGTCTCAAGCGAAGCGTCAATGGAGTATCCAGGCAGTGAAGGGCAAGGTGACCACTCGCTGCCTCTGGAACGCCTGTAAGGCTCTCACCATCGGCATCCTCCTCATCTTCATCGGCGCCGGCATGGCTACCGTAGGTGAGTACCTCTTCTGTGGGCACGGGTCAAAGAGGTACCAGTCCTCTGAGTCACCAGTTGCAAGAGTCGCTAATCTAACCTAATCATAAGGATTAGTGCCAATTAAGACTGGGCCCCAATCTCAGTAAATTAGATTAACTTGGGATGTATTAGCCCTGGGACATATGGGGATTGAGTACATTTGACCTGTCACTATCCTGTATGTGTTTGTTACTCCCAGCATCATTGTTTACAGTGTTTATAAAGTTTCATTACGAGGTTCAGTCTCACCCAAAAGTTCGTTAACTCTCCCAGCCAGTTATTGACGCACTGCCTGCTTCAGATGTATGAGCTTGAGTCTGTTACTTCGAACCTTTAGATTCATTTGTATCAGTTTCATGTTCTGGTTGGTACTGAGACAGTCTCAGACATCTGAAGCAGGCAGTGCAGCAATAGCTGGCTGGGTGAGTTACCGAACTTTTGGGTGAGACTGTACGTCAACCACACAAAGAATCACTTAGCCAAAGTCTCGTGTGCATTGGGTACCGTTTGGACCGGAACTCAATCTTAATGGATTGGCTAGATTGGAGCTCATTTAGCCTGGGGCCCGTATATTCTGTCACCTTGACATAGACATAACTTTTAAACGCGAATCAAAAGTTCGAGAAGATGATGTATTTTACAGCAATGACAATGACACCATGATGTACACCCACTAAAAAATTATTCGGCACCCGTGTCATATTGTATCACGCCGTAAGGTTGCTGAATAATTTATTAGTGGGTGTACAGCGTTGAGGTATTGTACAGTACAGTCGGGGTCAAAAATTCGCTCCCTCACAAAATAAAGCAGAATCGACCCCATAGGTGATACACCAGTCAGGGTGTAAGTCAGTTCGGAGACTCATTTCTGTGACACAGTTTCACCTGCTCCCGGACAGATGGCCGACGAACATTTGGCCGAACGGACAAATGGCCGAATGGACAAATGGCCTAACCTAACCTAACCTAATCTAACCTAACCTAGCCTATACAAATGTGCAAAAAAGAATTTTCTATCATTTCTATCAATTATGTTATCTTTTTATCCTGTGTCCGTCGGTGAAAATTCCGTCGGCCAAATGTCCTTCGGCCATCTGTCCGGCCACCGTTTCACCACGGGAAGCGAACTTTTGTCCCCGACTGTACACGTTTCTTAAGTTAATGTGCACATGTAGATGACTAATGCCACCTTCATTTGTTTACGTCTGAATTTTAAAGTTGAAAGTCTATGGCACAAGAAACAGATTAATGTGAGAGCAGTGCGTACTCTCTCTCTCTCTCTCTCTCTCTCTCTCTCTCTCTCTCTGTTCATTAATTCTACTCCTGACAGTTCAGCCTTTAAATTACACAACTGAAGAGAGTAACTCACCTGAACAGACACTATTAGACAGTTCCTGTTAACGCCTCGCTGCAGCTTTTGAGATGGACGTCTTCCCTACCCCACCCCGCACCCCACCCCACGCCGCACCCCACCCCGCACCCCACCCCACGCCGACTTGAATATAATCCCTCCTTCGGTTCCCACGAGGCTTCATGGCTACATCCCAGTATCACGTAGAGTGGCTAAAATCAGGATCAAACGATGTCTCTGTCTCATTCACTGTGTCTCTATATTCTCTCGTAATTTAATACTCTCCGCCGTGGTGCTTTCCTCCACAAACAGGCGTTAAGGTATTATCCCGCCTGGTGTAATTCTCACTTGATAATATATTTCATTTGCATATCTTCTTTGTCTTCCTTTTATCTTTGTGTTACACTGTACCGGATAATGAGTGTCGGTCTTTGATGTGTGTGTGTGTGTGTGTGTGTGTGTGTGTGTGTGTGTGTGTGTGTGTGTGTGTGTGTGTGTGTGTGTATCATCAAACAACGACACTCAACTCCTGGCAGCCCACATGAACTAAAACAACATAAATTTTAACACCAGTAACTTTCTATGGTAACATAAAAGTCGTTTTAAAATACATTAATATTATTACACACTGTATAGCAGCTTCTGGGGACCTAAATATTGGTCTCCAGAAATCCTTGAGTGATCCATCGGCCCCTGAGGTGGACACAGGTGAGGGAGGATTTGGGCATCATTTGGTATCACCCTAGAGACACATCTACGTTTCCTAATTCCGTTTATCTGTGAGGATTTGGGCATCATTTGGTATCACCCTAGAGACACATCTACGTTTCCTAATTCCGTTTATCTGTGTTTTGGAAGAATCAAACAGACAAAACATTTATACAGACAGACAGACAGACAGACAGAGGGTGTAGGTCATAATACCACCGTCTATTTTTATTTCCTTAATCAGAAATTTTGTTGTAGAGAAAGAAAGAAAAATCACATTATAAGTTTCCTCGAGTAGAGTCTAATCAATATGGCACTTCCTGTCACAATAAATGGCACTATCCCAATACATCACTCTCAGGCACTCATACAGATAAATATATTCCACATTATTCCTCGTGTAGTGGCACTGATTGGCACCTTCAGGTACATATTATGTCGATTTGAATCCTTAGTGGAATAGCTAATCTCCCCTCGATCGAGACTCAATTAGATAGGGTTAATGGACTGTGTATTGAGACCTCTTGTGTGGAGTTTAATTTACAATATGACCTGTGGGACTTCACTTATTGTGCGGAAACCATTTATCGACGGACGGACGGATGGATGGACGGACGGACGGACGGACGGACGGACGGACGGACGGACGGACGGACGGACACTGCACATAGTTACTCCTTGACAAACTCTGGACCATTATCAATGACAGACAGACAGAGAAGACAGAGAAAGATACAGAAAGAGAAAGACAAGAGAAGAAAGAGAGAAATAGAGGGACAGACATACAGTCAAAGAGAGACAGAGAGAGACAGAAAAAAGATAGACAGACAGACAAACAGACAGAGAGAGACAGGGAAGCAGAAAGTGAGCGAAAGAGAAAGGTAGAGACAAAATGAGATAGAGAGAGAAAGACCGAATGATAGACTAACAAAAATAGAGAGAGAGAGAGAGAATGAGAGAGAGAGAGAGACAATTTATATACACATGTGCCAAGATTTATAACTCAGCGGCTCGTAACTTTACATGAATGTCAAGATGACTGTTGGCGAGTCTGAACAAACTTACAGAGAGAAATATAATGCTAATAATAGTAATAATAATAATAATAATAATAATAATAATAATAATAATAATAATAATAATAATAATAATAATAATAATAACAATAATAATAATAATATAAAAACAACAGTAATAATAATAATAATAATAATATTTATAATAATAATAATTTGATAATAATAATAAAGTCTACTGCCTTCATTAAAATTATATGCTCTTGTCTTCAGTACAACTTTTAACAACTTTAATCATCAACTTCCAACCTCTAATTTTCCTCTTCACCCGAATCGCTGTTTCTACTTGTTGTGAAAGCTTGAAACAGTTGATTTTCTGCCTATGACAAAGTGAATATTTCAGTGTTATTATTATTATTATTATTATTATTATTATTATTATTATTATTATTATTATTATTATTATTTATTATTACTATTATTATTATTATTATTATTATTACCTGTACATCTGCGTCTAGTATTGCTCCTACAGGTCCCAGTCCTATTCGGCCCCTTAACTAGGACAATTGGGACCCAGTTCTAATGGACTTTGCCGTAATGGGGTCTAATCCAAACGGGTCCTACTTAATAATGGGCCCCAGACTTCATGGGGATTTGGGCCCATAAGGACAAAGGCCTAATGGGGAGATGCAACAAAGAGGTGAGGTAAGGGGTAGCAGGAGGAGGTAAAAGGCAGGAGGTGATAAGGGGCAGGAGGTGAGGTAAGGGGTGTAGCAGGGAGGTGAGGTAAGGGGTGTAGCAGGGATGTGAGGTAAGGGGTGTAGAGGGAGGAGGTATGGGGGGGAGGAGGTAAGGGGTGTAGCAGGGAGGTGGAGGTAAGCAGGGAGAGGTGGGGTGTAGAGGGAGGAGGTAAGGGGTAGCAGGGAGGAGGTAAGGGAGGTGAGGTGGGGGTAGCAGGAGGTGAGGTAAGGGGGTGTAGCAGGAGGTGGAGGTAAGGTGTAGCAGGGAGGTGGGAGGGGTGTAGCAGGGAGGTGAGGTAAGGGGTGGCAGGAGGAGGTGAGGAGGGAGGTGTGCAGGGAGGTGAGGTAAGGGGTGTGAAGGGAGGTGAGAAGGGGGTGTAGCAGGAGGTGAGGTGAGGGAGGTGGGAGGTAGGGGTGTAGCAGGGGAGGTGTGGTATGGGAGGTGAGTAGAGGGGAGGAATGAGCTAAGGGGGTGTAGCAGGAGGTGAGGTATGGGGTGTAAGAGGAGGAGGGAGGGTGTAGGAGGTGGAGGTAGGGGAAAGAGGGAGGTGATTTGAGGGGGTGTATAGGGTGGTGAGGTAAGGGGTGTAGGCAGGAGGTGAGGTAGGGGTAGCAGGGAGGTGGGAGGTAGGGGTGTGAGGTGGGGGGTAGGAGGGTGTAGCAGGGAGGTGAGGTAGGGGTGTAGCAGGGAGGTGAGGTAAGGGCAGGAGGTGAGGTGTGAGGTGTGGCAGGAAGGGGGTGTAGCAGGGAGGTGAGGTAAGGTGTAGCAGGGAGGTGAGGTAAGGTGTAGCAGGAGGAGGTAAGGGTGTAGGAGGGGGTGAGGTTAAGTGGGAGGTGGTGAGGTATGAGTAGGGAGGTATGGGGGTGTAGCAGGGTGGTGAGGTAGGGGTGTAGCAGGGTGGTGGAGGGGTGTAGCAGGGAGGAGGTATAGCAGAGGAGGTGTAGAGGATGGGGAAAGAGAGAGGGGGAAAGAGGGGTGTAGTATGGAGGAGGTAAGTGTAGTAGGTGAGGTAAGGAGCATGGATAGGGAGGTGTGGCAGGGTGGGAGGTAAGGGGTGTAGGAGGTGAGGTAAGGGTGTAGCAGGGGTGGAGTAGCAGGGTGGGAGGTATGGGGGTGTAGCAGGGTGAGGCAGGGGGGGTGGGGAGGTAAGGGGGTAAGGA